GGCCATAAAGATATTTTAAACTAAAGAATATTGTTTATCTATTTTAGTTTATAGAATATTTCATGCATTTTAAAAAATATTAGATAATTTTTGGTGTTGAAAAAGGATTTTGGAAGTTAAATTAGTTGTTATTACTTTTCAAATGGAACAAAGTGATTGATGAAAAGAAACGTATCTCTTGTTTCTATAGTTTTATCATAATAATGACGTAATAACATATAAATTATTTAATCGATTGATTATCTTAACTTTAAGTTACACTTGAGTCTAAATAGAGCAAAATGAATTACAATTAGTGGAGAAGATGGCATAGCTTAGCTGTGGTCAATATATTGCAGCTTTGACATGAAATTGATCCATAGTACTTGAGATAATGCTATTGGGTGTACTCAATTACAGAAAATTAGCTATCGCATGGGCGTTTCAGCCTATGAGCTTGTTCTATGGTACCCTGAGTTGTAATTACCTTATTATTTTTGTTCCATTCCCTCTATTTCTTTACTTTTTCCAATTCATGTATTAACTTAGGGGACAATATAAAAGAAAGTTCGTTTTTAGCCGTCTGAATTTTGTTGTATTTATACTTACAGCAGACTGAAAAAAAAAGTAAATTTCATACTAGTATATACTGAATGAACTAATATTTTTCGTATTATAACTACATACTACCGATTTTTCGGCCTTTTTTTTCAGCAATTGTGATTACATTATTTCTAAAATCTCATTATGACTATACATTAAGATCAAATTTGCAATTTTTTTTATTGCGACTAGACTTAATGAATTTCTGAAACAGACCTACGAATATTTGGAATAGAAAATCTTCAGAGTTCAAATGCGATTTTCGCAATAACTTCCTTTTTTCAATTTCGGTTAATAAAAGTCGTATTCCAGCAATTTATGGAATAATCCCAGGTCTCATTATATTCGATGTGATCTGTTTTAAAGGACGCGATGACATCATTAGTGTATCCCGATACCACTCCAATTAACTCAGTTTCATGATGTTTTTTTGAGAATTCTTTAAAAGGTTGCAGTTTCAATGTGATGCGGGTTTTTAATTAAAACGTTCGTATTATTTTTTCATATAAATATTTTGATAGAAAAGTTTTTTTGTTCATATCTTCAAATTTCTCTTTGAAATTTATGCCCTAAATTAATTGATAAAGCAACGAGGATTTAGTTTAAATCGTGACTAGAAATTTCCTTGTACTCTAATTCAATTATTTAACATAACATTGTTTTACGTTAAAATATAATTAAAACTAATGATAATAGAAATGTTAATTATTTCAAATAATATATGATGACATTAGTCAATAAATTGTTAAAAGGAAATCCGACTTGTTTTAGTGATCGTCGATATTAATATATTGTTTTAAATAATTTTAATCGATGGTTAATATACAATCATATAATGAGATCTAAGATTATCGCAAGTATTTATTTAAATGAAACTAATATTTTCGCATTTTTATTTTTTGATTATAAACTATGTAGTAGTCTGGTGTATGTACATCAGAGATTTTAGGTTACTGTAAAGTAACCGAGTTTCATTTATACAATCATATATTTCACGAAAAGGTAAAATGACATTTCATCTTTCGGGAAAGACTTTTACGAGGCTACCGAAGTAGGAGGTTAAATAATGTACGTAATTAACTAGATTTAATTGGAATAATAAAAATAATAATAATCTGAGAAAAGTGTCAGTATTTCTGATTAAGATTCTTCTATTTTATTTTAATACTACATATTTATTACTGATTTATTACCAGGCACTGTTGATTTTGTGGTGGCCTAGTGGTTAAAGGGTCCGCCTCTCGTTGCCGAGGGCGCGGGTTCAAACCTGGCAAGTACCAATGTGATTTTTCGGAGTCATATGTACTTTCTGAGAGTATTTAGACACCACTGACATACGGTGAAGGAAAACATCGTGAGGAAACCTGGACTTATAGTTTCACAATTATAAGTTTGAAATCACCAACCCGTCTTGAGCAAGCGTGGTGATTAATGCTCAAAACCTTCTCCATGTGAGAAGAGGCTATGCTCAGCAGTGGGCGTTTATAGGCTGATGACATGACTGTTGATTTTAAAAGCCTGTTTTGTACATACAAATTATTTAAATCTTAACGTCTAGAGCATTGAACTTATTATCTACATGTTCTGTTTAAATGTCTGTCAATTTATGAGAGTTACTGACATACAATTAATTATTAATATATAGTGAACAACCAGAATTTTTTATTTTAACAACATAAATGTTCACTCATATTAAAAAATTCCAGATTGTGGAAAGACTTTTCAATATATTAGAGGTGGTATGATAATATATTGATACAAAGAACCGAACAATTTTACATTTAATAACGAATTTCGTGAAAATACTCCAAGCTCTCACAGATATCAGTGATCATTCGATTGAAGACAATGGTACGGCTGATCTACATAATGCCGACGTCACTGTAAGGACTGTGATCCTCTTAAAGCTAAAATATTATATAATATAAGGTTTCGTGCAATTATATCATTAACAGTATATTAAATTAGAATATATATAATGAAAAACTCTTCGACACGACCAGGATTTTGACCTGTAACTTCCAGAAGGTAGCGTTTCAGTAGTTAAAAACAATTGTTCTTTCTATATATCTAATTTGGTGTTTAATTTAAACTAGAAAATATAGAATGTTCTAGTAGGAGATATATATGAAGTTCGATTAATATTACTCAAATATTTGTTAACTGTCATAATAATTTTTAATAGAGTCTATGGTTCTTTAAAATATTGTAACAGGAGGGTTTCGAAATCTTTTTTTAATATTGTTGAGATGTCCTATTCGAGAAGGATATTTCTGAAGTAGCATATGTATTATAAAAATAAAGTATGTATTTAACTTTTGATAAATATTTTATATTTATAAAATAGTAGGCTAAGTATCTTTTAAGACTTGTCATTGTTTTAATAGTAATGCTTACATAATAAAAGTGATATTAAAAACCCTTACAAATGGATTAGACTATTATAAAAAAAATATCGTAGTTTTCTGGAAAATTTTGAATATAAAAAGTAGTTCCAGAGATAGACTGTGACTAGACTAGACTAGATAGGTCATACTGAATAGAAAACTTCATTAAGTCAGTAAACTAATAAACTAATTGAAAGAATTGTTACACTTGACAAAATGGTTTAAAATATATATTACTAGCTTTGCGCCCGCAGCTTCGCCCGCGTGTAGTTCGGTTATATCGCGTTTCCAAGAGAACCTTTCAAAAGTCTGGGATAAAATCAATCTTATGTTCTTTCTCAAGGTCAACTCTATCTCTGTTCCAAATTTCATTAAAATCAGTTCGGTGGTTTAGGCGTGAAAGCGTGACAGACAGACAGACCGACAGAGTTACTTTCATTAATAATATTAGTAGGGATGTCTAAATAGTATTAATATAGCTATAAAATGTATTATACTTTGTCTCGTTGTATTTGTTCTATAATATTTACTTCACGGAATTGCTTTCCAATATAAATATAGCACAATATTTTAGTGGAGTGATAGACAGTGTAAATAAAGAGTGGGTTGCCTTAATACCGATAATGGATGAAGATTGGACGAATCTCAGAAACATTATGAGAGTATTTGCACCGTAATATGATTATTAGATTTTTTGAACGATTTATATTTCGCTCAAATATTTATATACAATAAATATGTTATAATTTGTTTAAATATATGAAAAATTATGTTACATATATGTTGAACTTTTAATATTTTTAATATGTACTAAATATTATTCGGTGTTGTAGATTAGTCGTTAATATTTATATTTCAAATAGTTTATCTATTTGAAATATAAATATTAACGACTTCTTCTTATTCCTGGCAATTTTTCCCAGCTTTAGTCAGGGTCTGCCTTACATGTTTTTATAAAAAATACATATAATTTTTTATTTTCTGTCTATGATAAATATTTATAGATTCTGTCCAGACAAAAAAGAGATATGAAAAAGAAAATTTCTCGTCAGAAGGATTGCTTTATAATTTAAATATCAATTCACAAATAGGACGGAGATCCTGTTTTTCATATAGACCACAGATACCATGCCATTCGATTATCGACTTTAATGTTATGCGGATTAGTTTCTATTTCATATGTACGCGTAGAGCGTTTAATGTATCGAAAACCTTAAGTTGACGTAACTTCTTAAATGTACAGCCTTGAGTGATGAGAATATTTAAAGGAGAAGGGAACTCGATCAACAAAATTATGTAAGGATAAAATGATACGCTGTTGTAATAACGTCGTAATATTTTTATCCTAGTACAGTCATATAGACAAGTGTAAAACAAAAATTACAAACCAACATCAATTAATTTTAAAACAAAAACAAAACATAAAATGTACGTAATTCAATATGTATGTATTTTTATAAAATTCTGGTTATTTTTTATGTAACACTTTACTTCGGGAGTGTACACGGGGGAAAGCTTTCAAAAGATCGCGTTGATCATACAACGTAGAAAGCCATACTGTTTCTAAAATGACGTGTAACACCTGACAAGTTATGGATGTCACCGAAATATTGAAGCAGAAATACTTCAAGTCTTGGCTATACTTAAAAATAAACTAGTTATACACCAAGGCTTCGCATGCATAAACATATATTCATAAGTGTATTAGAAGGAACGAAAAATGTTATTACATAATTTTCTATATAAATTTTCATCCAAAATAATTCAGACTAGTAACGATTCAGAAACAAATATTCATTTATTAAGAATTTGAAATAAAATTATTTATAGATTATCGTATTAAAATATGAATATTTTATAATACAATCACAAATTAAAGCCACGTCATTTTATAAAAAGTAAGCTAAAAATCACTTTTAAAGATAAGATAAATGGTTACCGAATAAGATAAAGCAAGATAACGGCCACGTTGTTGGTGATTTAGTTTAATTACACAATTTGTAATAACTGGTCAGTTATAAATTATACGGTATGGCACCTAAAAAGAAAGATAAAATAAAAGATGAAAAGAAAGATAAAATAAAAGATGAAATGGTCGCGGAAACGACTGCAAAGCAAGATAAAAAAAACGGAGTGAGTAGATATTTCCTAAGACCTTTTTAATGCTTTTTTATTAATATTATTGAATGAAAACATGCTTTTCATTATTCACTTTTTAATTTGCTTTTAATTTTTTATTGGTTAGTGATGGTATTTTTTATATTTAATATTTTCCGGGTTTGTAACTTTTTATAGACTTGAAATTTTATAGCAATATTATTAAGTATTAACGTGGATATTTCTTAAATATTTAATTTGTTTTCAGTGGTCTTTGATAGTTACTTCAATTATAGTTGGACTGTTAGGTGCTTTGGTATATAGACTGTATATTTCTTTCGTCGCTGTGCCAGAACTACCTAAATTTGATCTCGATGTATGGTGGGGTGCAGGTCCAAGGAGTAACCAAGATATATCAATACGTCCATATAGAATTCTTCTTTTAGATTCAGTGAGTATAAAAATTCTTCCTTATAAACGGTGTTAGTAACAATAATAATACTTCGTGATGCTTGTATATTCTGAGAAAATTATATTTTAATACTAGCTTTCCGCCCGCAGCTTCGCCCGCGTGCAGTTCGGTTATATTGCGTTTCCAAGAGAACCTTTCAAAAGTCTGAGATGAGAACTATCCTCTGTTCTTTCTCAAGGTCAACTCTATATCTGTACCAAATTTCATTAAAATCAGTTCAGTGGTTTAGGCGTGAAAGCGTAACAGACAGACAGAGTTACTTTCGCATTTATAATATTAGTAAGGATTACTATAGGCATGTACAAGGTATTAGGTACCTGTTTCCTTAATTCTAAAACTTGGATTGGTTGTATATTTTCTTTATATTTTTCTGATATTTTCTAGAGAATTATTAAGGACACGTCATGTTTTTATAATTTAATAAGTTATCTAATTCATTAATACTAACATAGTTTGCAGAGATAACTTGTTTATAACTAAGTTAGTTAGTAGCCTGTTTAACGTTATAAGCACATGTAGTAATTAGAAAAGTTGTAACATTTTCTAAGCAACACCAAATCAAACGTTAGTTAGAATGTACAGACTTTGTTAATTAGGGGAAAGTTATAATTAGCTTTACTTAGTTATATTCATAGCCGTTTTGAAGGTTTGCACAACTTTTATGATCTTCGTTAAGTTCCTAATTAGTGTATTAGTTTAGATGTTAAATAACTATTTGTAATTATATAAAAAATATATTTTTAGATAGACGTACTCGTAGTTACTGAATTCAGTTTAAGGAACTTAGTATATTTAAATCGAAAATATTTCATTGTTTATTTTCTGAATATTACATTCGTAATAAGTAAAATTTTCGATATATATTTCTATCCGTCTGTTTTTTGATTAATCTAATCTTAGTTACAACTGGCATTGTTATAGTGGAATTATTACAAGACAAGATAAAGAAAAAATATATTTAATTACAAATTTCTTAAAGAATAAAGTCAAAAATTAACAGTTAAAAGATATTTATAAATAAAAAAAAATATATTTCAGATGCAAGAAAACATACGTCGTAAATTCGAAGCTTATAGAAGAGCAACGAAAATAAAAAGTCTGAACGAGTCTTCTAGCTATGGCTTGAATTCTGATAATCTGGGTCAAATTTTTGCACATTGGCAATTCAAATATAATTACAGAGAACGCACTAGATATTTCAATAAGTATGATCACTTCAAGACTAATATACAAGGTCTGGATATGCATTTCATTCATGTGAAACCGAAAAATCCTGGAAATATGAAGGTAAGTTGTTTTAACATGGGGTTATTTTGGTGAGTATACACTGTATAGTCTTGTTTGTAATAGCTAAAATTGTTGTTAATAATTAGGTTTTATAATATTTATTCCTTGCTAGTTATTAAGATAAATGTTAAATATAAATAATATTAGAATATGGATTAAATAAGCCTAGTTTTTTTAAAAGTTAATCAAAGTAATGTGTTTTAATATAATTTTCATATTTAATTATGTTATGTCTTATTTAAGGATTGATATAAATAAATAATAATAAATATATTTCAGAATATTTAACTCCTAAACTCAAAGATTTTGTTTAATGTGACACCTTCAACAAGGTAATAGATTTACAAATTTGACACGACTATGAAGTGTTTGTTACAAAACGGAATATAAATTCCTCCTTTATAATATCATGAAATAAATTCAATTTGTATTAATGCACAATCAAATCAGACTTTCAATAACAATCACCTGATCCGAATATTAATTCTAATAAAGGGAGATTTTAAACTTTTTTCCTATTATATATTCATGGCAGGCATGGAATGTAAATTTTTAAAGCCTTCGTTTGTAATATCTAACTAAACGCCAGTTTTCATTAAGGCTTCAATTCCGACGTAATTTATTAGATTTCTTATCGACCGACATTTCGAATTCAGTAGGTGTTGCTGCCGGATTTTTTTCTTGAAGACGGGTTTTTTGTTTTTCCAATCTTCGCTATATTAATTTGTCATACTTTTTACACAATGCTGATCAGCTTTCAAGCTTGCAAATTTTATTGTTTTATATCATATTTGAATTTGATATTTTGTTAATTTGTAGGTTCTACCGCTACTTCTCTTACATGGTTGGCCGAGTTCTGTAAAAGATTTCTATGAAATGATACCACTTCTAACAACTCCAAGAAATGCTTATGATTTTGTATTTGAAATTATAGCCCCAAGTCTGCCTGGGTTTGTTCATTCACAAGTAAGCTAAACATTACTAATAAGATAATATTTTTTTTGCAGACAGCTATTTCAATATAAATATACATATACTAGAAGACCCGGCGAACTTCGTTTCGCCCTATAATCAAGAAATATCTGTTACGTTTTTTTATTTATATTTTTGGAGTTTACCTATTAAAGCCATAAATCTCCGTGTTTTGAAGTGATTAGGAATGATTAATAGTTAATATGAGAGTTACACTGAGCTAGCAAAATAATAATTGTCAACGTTACTACTACACTTGATGCACAAACAATAACGATGGCCGACAACTGTGTAGGGAGTGAGAGAAGTCTAATTGTGTGAGAGAAACAGAAGACCGGCTTCGTTCTCATCCCTACTCCGTGCTGTTTACTGGGTCAGAAGTGACACCTGTAGATATCTGGCGGGGATAACTTATTAAATGACGATTGATCAGTTATCGACCGGAGATGAAAAATGATTAAATTACTAAAATAGCTATTAAAAAATAAGGGTTGATCGTAGAAGGGTGAAAATTTAGGATTGTATGTATTTTTGTACGTTGTATCATAAAAAAATAGTAATTAAAAATTTTGTCTAAAAAATAAAAAATAAAAAATTAGGGGTGGACTACCCCTAACATTTAGGGGGATGAAAAATAGATGTTGGCCGATTCTCATAGCTACCGAATAAGCACAAAAAATTTCATCAAAATCGGTCAGGTTGTTTCGGAGGAGTATGGGCACGAAAACTGTGACACGAGAATTTTATATATTAGATTATTTTTTTAAGGGTGCAGCCAGGCCAGGTCTTACGACGTATGAAATAGCGATTATAATGCGTAATTTGATGAAGAGGATCGGCTTTAATCAGTTTTATATTCACGGTGGAGATATTGGTCATGCGATTGGTTCACACATGGCGACAATTTTCCCCAATCAAGTCCTTGGTTTCCATACTACCACTCCTATTAATTACTCCTATTTAGCTTCAATGGGGTGGTTTATAGGATCGATTTGTCCTAAATGTTTATCAGATGATTATGTTCGTGATAAAATGTACCCACTGTCAGATAAAATCAGTTTTTACTTGGAAGAATCTGGTTATTTACATCTTCAGAGCACGAAACCTGATACTATAGGTATTATTAAATGCGTTATAATATCTACAAGGCAACTGAATTGAAATAATATTTATTGATATTTAAATTTGTAGGAATCGCTCTTCAAGATTCTCCCCTTGGTCTAGCAGCGTACATCATAGAACGCTATTTGTTATACACGAATCCAAATAGCAAATTCACTCCTGAAGAAGCATTCTCAAGCTATAATATGACAGATTTACTTGATAACGTCATGTTATATTGGAGCACTGGGAGTATTACGACGTCATTGCGATTATTTAAGGAGACTGTTAAGAATTACGACATGGAACAGGTTCTTGCAAGGTGAGAATAAAAAGTCATACTCATTATGCAATTATGGAAGTCGTGGTGGCTTAGAGGTTAAAGTCCCGCTTCTGTGCATGAAGGCGCGCGGGTTGAAACTTGGCAAGTACCAATGTGATTTTTCCGAGTTATAGGTACTTTTTAGACTATTTAGACACCACTGACAGACGGTGAAGGAAAACATCGTGAGAACACATGGACTTTTAATTTCAAATTATAAGTGAAATCGCCAATCATTCTTGAGCATGGTGCGTGGTGATTAATGCTTAAACCTTCTCCATATGAGAAGAGGCCTTTGCTCAGCAGTGGGCTCTGATAAGCTGATGATGATGACTCACGACTAAAAAATGTTTTTGTAATAATAATATTTTGTTAACACTACATAATATACAGGGTGACTGGTGAATTACTATCGATATTTGAGGACGTGATATTTGACGATCATATATGACAAAATGAAAATTAATATAACATAAATATTAATAAACTTCTAAGTAAAGTTAACAAAAAGTTATGTAATTAATTACGCATCGTATGAACACTCTACAGATTAGGTATACACACCCACTCACACAGACGCGGCGGCGGCGTGGTGTTGTATCAGCACGCCGTCGCACGCGTCCACACTTGAAACACTTGGAACGTGTACACACTTTATTTATTTATACGGAAATTTGGTCAAAAATTAAGTACCTATTTTTTTTACATAATTCGAATGAGAATCATGTACCGAGTATGCTCCTTAAATATTGATAGTAATTCACCAGTCACCCTGTATATATTTAATGATTTCATGTCCAACGCGCAAATAGATATGGACAATCATTCAAAGTTCGTTTTAATATTGTTTCAGAATACCAACTTCAGTCCCAACTTGGGGCCTACGAACGAAAAATGACCTATTCCATCAGAATGATAACATAATACGTTGGAAGTACCCCAACCTTCGTGGCTTAACTAATTTGGAAGTTGGAGGCCATTTTCCCGCCTTCGAAATACCTTCAGAAGTTGCTAGTGATATATTTAAATCTGTGAGAAAATTTCTCCTAACAAGAAAAGTATAAAACTTTGAAAATTATGTTGTATTTTTTTAGTAATATATTAAATTTTTATTTTTGAATAGTATTATTGCCGAAGAACTAAACTAGTACTAAAATGAAGGTATAAGACTACGAGAATTTGTTTGAAAAAAATATATATTAAGAAATAATTGTTACCAAAAATATAATTCAACAAGAGAGTATAAAATTTTTGAGTTACTAATAAATTTATGTTACCTCAAGATAAAAGGGCCGTGACTAAGTAAAAAATTGTATTTAATTATTTTATTTATAACGATAATTACATATTTTGGGTTATTAATTTTCAACAAATTAAATTCTAACGGATAATAACTTAAAAGTTGAATTCAGACGACTTACAAAATGAGTTTTTGAAACAGCCCATTGGGAATTGAGTAACTTACAAGTTAACTAAAGGAAAGGCGACAGTTGTAACTTATTAATGAATATTTAAATATTACTAAAATTTGTTATTAAAAGATTAAATCTTTTGAATGATCTTCAAGTTTGAGTGTTATTTATACATTTATAAATCCTATCCAGTAAGATGTCCCTAAAGAAGAAAATTATTTATAACGGCTGGTTAAGTTTCATAAAATATTTGAGAAAACCCAAAAAAGTATACGCCAAGGTTATCCCTACTAATATTATAAATGCGAAAGTAACTCTGTCTGTCTGTCTGTCTGTCTGCTACGCTTTCACGCCTAAACCACTGAACTGATTTTAATGAAATTCGGTACAGAGATAGAGTTGACCTTGAGAAAGAACATAGGATAGTTTTTATCCCAGACTTTTGAAAGGTTCTCTTGGAAACGCGATATAACCGAACTCCACGCGGCGAAGCTGCGGGCGGAAAGCTAGTTGGTATATAAATGATCTAAGATATAGGTTTGGTTTTTATTTCTTAGTCAAAATTAGATTACATTTTGTTAACAAATCTGTGACATTTATACGCCAGAAAAACATAAATGCTTATATGATCGTATTGTAATAATATTGTGTTTAACCTTTTATTATTATTAGAAGAAAATTAAAAAATACATCCTTTATATTTTTTATTAAAAATCTTCCTTAAAATCAGAAAAATAATTCGTATTTTTTAATAAGAAAAATTGCAAAATATTAATTTAACTGAATTCTGAACCGAAAAATCAGTTTGACTTCAGTTTGTGAAATACGAAGGAAGAATTCATTTAATAAATTAAAATTCTTGAAGCGTCCGCGTTTTTAGTAAACGTCTTATCTATCTTATACATAAAATTCTCATGTCACGTTGTTAGACAGAGAACTCCTCCGGAATGGCTTGACCGATTTCGATGAAATTTTGTGAGCATATTGAGTAGTCTGAAAATCGGCCAACATCTATTTTTCATACCCGTAAGTGATAGGGGTTCTTTTCCCCTACATTTTTTTATAATGTGGCAGTAACAAATACATACAACCCAAAATTTTTAGTTTTTTTTCACCAAACCACTATTTTTTAATATGGCAAAACAATTTTTGCCGGGTTACCTAATATACATATATATAATGTGTATATGTGTCTACGAGTGAGTGTATTCGTATTTATTCTATAAATAATGAATTAAATAAATTTATTTGTCAATCAATAAATTTCACAAGATATTATACTGAAGAAGGAAATTCAAATAAGAGGTGATATAATCTAATTAGGGGAATTTAATGCCTACAATTATAATTCTTTTATATATAAATAATCAAAATAATTCTTTCGATACGTTTCTTATATTAACATAATTAATAATTGAATAAGCAAATTATCATTTACTTATAATTTCTTACCTACTGAAGAACTGATAATTTTATTCTTGTATTCTAACAAGTATATTATAAAGAAATGATGAAATATTTTCGTTAAATAAAACCAGTAAATAGCGACAGTCAAGTTAGCCGTCAGATAACTTAATTTGGTGAGTCTGAATCGTTGTACTTAAATGTATCCAATACTACGAGATGTTGCGTATTTTTTCTTAAAAACACTTTTTTTATACATAAACGAATAATAGCTTTTGTAGTTCTTAAACTTTATTAAAAACCTTTATTTTTATTTTTTCTGCAACTCTGATGAAAATTCATATGCAACATTTGTATTACGTAGTTATAATTTATTCCTTACACTTTTTATAACATTAAAATTGGAATTTTTTGGTTTTAGTGTATTTCGTAAAAATTGAAAATAATTATGGTTGTAATCATTATATGAAAACGGGTAAATCAGTTTCTTTTTGTTGAGAAAATTCGCCGTTAGCCATCACTAAACATGTTTATGATAAAATCATTAGAAGACTAGTGAATTCATCGTTTATAAATATAGAATTAAACAATTTTGTATAAGTTAGATATCTTGTTTCGTTAATGTAATTGAATTTTCAACATTAAAGCTATGTACAGCTGATGATATGTAAGATTTTCGCGTCTATTCATTTAAATAACACTAATATTTTCGGATGATCTACGTTTTTTTGATTATTTTTTATTTAAATAGTCTTGACGTTTAATTTTTTTGCAGCAACCGTGATCACGGACAGACGAGATGAAAGTGTCTCTCAGTTAATCTTGTTATTTGTCGTCTACCGATAAAGATTTCTTCTTTTTCTAGCGTATCGCCCTGGATACTAAAAGGTTGGGAGTATGTATGTAATAAAAAACGAGTATAATATCCGAAAAAATTTAAATATTGAGCTGATATATAAAGAACAGAACCTTGATGGTTAGTATATTACAAAATGTATTGGGAAATGCCAGTATTCGATTGGATATTTATTTTTCTGATAATTATTTATAGTGTTTTATTATTTAGTTTAAGACTGTATTTTTTACTGATTCTATACACAGATTTTAATAACGATAAATAAATAAACAAAATTAAGTATTAATTAAATTTAACCTTAAGTGAAACACATTTTGAAGATCCCAATTTTTTGATATAAACTTCTATACAATATAAAAATCCTGATACACGAACATGGCTTTCTATTTAACATTAAATCAATATAAATACAAAGTCATAGAGATTTTTAAAGTTCTTTATTCCCAATGGAAATAAAACTATTTCAAATTCTCACATCACGTTCAGAATCGCGCGTGAGGTTTTACTTAAATTAGTTGTTTAAAATTTCACTTCAGTCAGAACTTTTGGATCGTGAACGTATATGGACTTACACTCGTAGATTCAATTATAATAAATAAAATATATAAAAAAAAAATAATCAGAATTTATACTAACAGCTTGACTAAAAAAAATTCTTAGAAATACCTTTAAACAACGTTACTATCATAGAATTGAAGTGATTGTAACATAAAATATTATAGTACTAAAGAATATTCTAAGTTTCTTTGAGTTTCAATATTATAACTTGGATATTTCTTATTCTACTCGTATAACTATTTGATGAATATTTTTTGTCTTTTATATATATCATATTAGTAAGCAAATATTATTATTGTTTATATACAGATAATACAGTCAATATGTCAAGTAGACAAAATAGTTTAAAGAATAAAAAAAAGTTAAAAATGTTATAAAATTTAGAATTCGTAACACGAATTTGAATGACATAATAAAAATAGACGATTTCTAGTTCTCTATTCAGTTTCAGTAGTAAGAATATCAGTGTATAACTCTTTGACAAACTCGTAGTAAGGGTAAGTATGTCTTGTGTATGAGGAATTGAGTCTGAAGGATTTATCATAAATAAAGTTATTTGCTTGGTTCTTAATTTGGGTATTATTGCACTATTAACCAAATTATGATGCATAAGTTAGATACGAGTGTCCTTAAAAATTTTTTTAAATATAAAATATTTTTCTTCAATTTTAACAAAAATGAAAAGTTGAATATTAACTACACAAAAACATTTGAAAAATAAATTATTTTTCGAATTTATATCAGTCCATACTGTTAATCTTTAAAAATCTTTAAAATTTTGTCTTTATGGATGATCATGTATCATACCAGTGTTTTTTTTAATTTTAATGTCTAACTTTATTATTATCAAACTTGTAAAATTTCTGTTAAATCTTGAAATTATGATAAATATTATACAACAGGAAAACGTTCTGAGAAAAATAAAATGTTAATATAATTTGTTGAAATTTCACGCTCGAGGTGAAACGTTGAGAGAATTCCAAATCAACGTATTTTTTAATCTGAGTTTTAGTTTATAAATCACATATGTTTTCAACATTTCCTTTATTTACGTTTAAATAAGATGAGATTTTGAAAATTAAGTTATATGAAAAGTTTTGTAAAAACTCAAAATAAACAGTTTGTTACCGTTTTTCAAATCAAAAGTCTTATTCTGCCTGAAATGTTACTTCTCGGAAATATTCTTTCTTATATAGAATGAAAACACCTTATGTCTTATATGACAAATGCTGTACCCTTAACAAATAAGGAAACTAAACAATAATGTTACTTATTGAAAGCTTTGGAACGGAAAGCAGTATATAGAGAGGCTAGTAATAATATATAAAGAAAAACAGAATGTATATATAAATATTTTGTACAGTCATTTCAGTATTTTGTATACCATTAATAGGAATACATGAACACGAAATAATTACAGAGAAGTGTTCCATTAACCGTGGAATTAACGTATTAGTCATGAAGCTCGGATTTGTTGGAAACCAAATTACTAGGCAGTATATGTGTTATAAGATATTTTATATGTTCACTACTTATGAATTAAAAGTAATTCAAGATATACTATTACATATATAGTATAAATTCAATGATTTTTTATATAAAGGTTTTAATTCTGTTTATCTTGAGTGTGATTACTTTATAAGAAAATACATTATTATAATTTCTTTTCTTAATTTTTTATCACAAACGAAACTCTACTACACTGCTTTGATTTTCATATAACTTTATATTTCTGAAACGGGAGATTAATCTGCTAAATTAAAATTTCCTCAGCGATGCCATTAGCTTGAGGTTCGATGGAATTTATCCTGAATAATAAATTTTTTAAATGATT